GCCATTATGTATTGAGGTTTTAATTTAGATGTTGATTTTTTTTTTCCTTTTTGTCTTTTTTACTGACTGGTGACGGGATCGCAACCCTCGGTGTTGCGTCCGCACCACGCTCAGCCAGTGAGCGGGAACCGGTCTCCACGTGGGATCCGAGCCCTCGGCGGGAGCGCCACTGCGCTCCCAAGCAGCGCACTATCCAGTGTGCCACCGGGCTGGCCCTAGATGTTGATTTTTAAAAACATTTTCTAGTTGGCTTTAGCCTTCTTAGTTTTGGTCTTTTTTTTTTTTTTTTTTGAGGGATCTTAGAATTAAATGCTAAATCTGTTTGTTGGATCATATAAAATTGCTGTTTTTGTAGGCCAAAAAAGGTGAATGTCAGCATGTCAAATGGATCTACCTACTAGTACTTTGTTATATTATTACTTCCTGGCTGATTTATAAATAGTATTCTATTTAAATCAATATTTATTTATCACACCAAGCATGGTCAGAAGCAATGGTGGTAAGCAGATGAAAAGTGAGGATTCATGTCATTAAGGAATTGGCCTAATAGGTAAACATATGGATAGATTTGGGAGTGGGTGCGGCTGGCTGGCTGGTACAGAGATTGAACCCTGGACCTTGGTGCTATCAGGACCATGCTCTAACCAACTGAGCAAACTGGCCAGCCCTGGAAACATATGGAAAGAAATATATTACTAGTGTGATTGCTGTCTAGAAAAAAAATATAAAATACAGGTGGTTCCCCTAAGGTGGAGAGCTGGGTGAAGTTAAGGGTAGTCAGGATTCTGAAAAGAAATGGAAGTTAACCTATTTATTGTACAAAGAGCATAAGAATATTCTAGGTAGAGGAATTCACACTTTGAAGATTTTAAAAGTTTTAAAACCTTTAACTCATCAAATTTATTTATTGATGTACCAGCTACTGTGTCAAGTACCAGAAGTAAATTTTGAGACAAACATAAATCCAATCTCACAGCTCTAATAGCTTTTCCCGTAGGCAGTGAGAATCCACTGAAATGTTTTGAGCAGTGTGTGTTCACTTTCAGATCTGTATTTTTAAGGGAAGAGCATGGTAGGCATGTTGTAGAAGAAAAATGTGAGGCTTCACTAATGGCAAAAGAGACCAGTTAAAGACAACTGCATAAGTGTGCATAAGACACCACTGCTTGAACCAGGGCAATGGCATTGGGCTAGAGAAAAAGGGATAGGTGACTAGAAAGTTGCAAATGTCTTAACTTTGGTTAAGAATTGTTGTAGTTGAACTTTTTCTCCATAAATTCTCTACTTTGAATTTCCTTGACTTTCCCGAGTCCCCTTTTCATGCTACACAGACTTCTCTGGATAATCTCATCCAGGTCTGTCACTGTATATATATTAAGCTTGAGACTTCTTCGCCTCTTCACCTTATATGTTCTTCATATATTCAACATCACCACTTCAATTTTATGTACATAAAATTGAATTCATTCTCTTCCAAAACTTCATGTTTGCCTTTTTGCTTTGTCTCTGAATAATGTTCTTCTTCCACTAAATTGTTCACTCTTGGTGACTTTCAGCCTCACTAAATGACTCGTGGCCAGTAAAGTTACTGTATGAAGAGCCAGACAGTAAATGTTTTAGTCTTTGTGAACCAGAGGGTCTCTGTTGCAGCTGCTAAGTACTTGATTCTGCCTTGTAGCTCAAAAGCAGTTATAGATGGTACATGAGCAGTGGGTGTCACTGTGTTCTAATAAAACTTTATTCACAAAAACAGGCAGTGTGTAGAAACAGTTTATTGACTCCTGCTGTAGCATACCTTGTTCTTTAATGCTTCCAACCTTTGTTCGTGCTGATGATTCTATCTAGGACCCACCCTCCCAACAAAGCTGTCTACTAGACTAAGCTCACAAAGGGCAGATTTTTTTTGTTTTTGCATGTATAACCCAAGGTCCTAAGTAGTACTTTCTAATCCACTTGGAACTAAGAATTTTCTGGTAATTGGGCATTAACTGTTGGAAGCATTGTGATAGGGGGCTATGGAGAAAGTAGTTTGCTCTAGAAAATTGAACGTTAAATTTTCATTTGATGAGTAGCATAACTCCATATTTGAAAGAGTTTTTGATGTATTAAAATTTTAAATCTGGTGTTGGTTTAAATTATAGAATTATAACAAAACAAAAATTTGGTATATATTTTAAAAATTTGTTTGGTAGCTGCCTGGTACTATTTTGGTACATCTTAAGAATAAAAACCTTTACTTATTTTACTAGATTTGGCCCGTTGGGCAATTTCTCAAGTGGATGCTGTGATCCCTCTTTTCAAAAAATAACTGGCAAGTTAAAGATTTGGCTGTGTGTGTGTGTGTAGAAGAGGGTAGTATTAAAAGATAATTACTATACAGTGTTATGATTTTGTACAGTTGAAGTGTCTTCTGTAGCCCACCTGTTTAGCTTCTCTTGGAATAGTTAAAACACTAAGCTAAACAGAGTAACACATTTCCTATTCAAAATCTGAGTTGAGACTTTTGTAACCTTAAAGAGGGCAAAATGTAATGTCAGTTCTCTCTTGTGTGATCCAAACGCCATACCTTGGTGTTATCAGCACCACACTCTAAACAAGTAAGTTAACTGGCCAGCACCTAAAACTTCTGAATTTTGATCAAAGAAACGAAGTTGCTAGTGGTCATAGAAGTAATTAATAATAACTGGAAAGGAAATTGCATTCATTTATCAGGTCAGCATTTCAGATAATGCTGATTTATTTCTTGGTGAGAAGCTAGGCTGGCCCATGGCTAATTTTTTAACTGTGTAATACTTCCCTTTTTCCCCTTCAGAAATCATGATCGAGCCAGCCCGGTGGCGCACTGCTACAGTGCGCCGCTTGGGAGTGCAGTGGCGCTCCCGCCGAGGGTTCGGATCCCACATACAGACCGGTTCCGCTCACTGGCTGAGCGAGGTGCGGGCGCGGCACCAAGGGTTGCGATCCCGTTGCCGGTCACGAAAAAAGACAAAAAGGAAAAAAAAAAAAGAAATAGTATTGGAGTGATAGAATTCCCTTCCTGATGTCCCCCCCCCCCCCCCCC